GGTTTAGAACGGCATCCATATATAACCCCGTACATAACACCCCCTTGAAGGAGGTTAGACCCTAAACCCTAAATCCTAAACCCTAAATCCCAAATCTTAAACCCTATATACCTCCCCTTTAAGGAGTTTAGACTATAACTCATAACATCCCTTTAAGGAGTCTAGACTGTAACTCATATCCAGATCCCCCGCAGTGCCCAGGTCCTTGGAGGCTCTCACGCTGCGTCGACCCGGCCTCAGCTTCTAGATTATGGGTTTTGGGAGGGATTCGGGATTATATAGGGGTAATGTTGGGATAATGGAAAATGAAATGGAAACTACTATACTGGGGTATATAGTGTTTTGGGTTTAGGGGGATGAGGGCTTAGGGTTTTACGGTTTTGGGGGGTGAGGGATTATAGGCGTCATATGGTTACATCTGTAGTTTCCTTAGACCCATCATAGGAATAGTATCTTTAATCTTTCCTTCGGGTTATGCTATAATAGCATTGAAACATCATTCCTAAGGACAGTATAGAAATTCTGAGAATGGGAAATGAAATGGAAGCTAGTATAATGGGGTTGTACAGGGTTTGGGGGATTAGGGATGATATGGGGGTTTGGGTTTAAGGGGTTTAGGGCTCAGGGGTTTAGAGTTTAGGGGGGAGTAGGGTTTAGGGTTTAGTGGGATGAGGGTTTAGGGGGGGTTGGGGATAAGCATTTAGGGGGGCTAGGGTTTCCTTAGCCGCTCGAATTTTCAGGATGGTGTAAGATTTACAGTTTTAGATGTTTACAGTCGAGCGGTCTAGGGTGCAGTGGCTAAGGATCCAAGGTGCCCAGGGTTTGGGGCCCCGGAGGGTGTGAGACTATGTGCAAGTCAGACGTGCAGAAGTTGATCCCTCAAAATCAAGGTCCCCCACATGCCCCAACTTGATACAGCAGCAGCTGCTGCTGCTCCAGCAGGAACCTATGCTTCGGACAAACCGCCCAAAGGTTGAATCAAGGGCTCTCACGGAAGGTATCAAGCCAGG